ACCTCCACCGTGACCCTGCAAGTCGTAGGAGGTGACGAAAAGGGAGGCCTCAGATCTGAGACAGTAAAATATGGTTGCGAGTTTCAAGGGACTCTGACCCGAGAAAGACCATGCTGTTACTGACTGATTGACCGTCAGTCGCAATATGACTTTGACTGTGAAAGAAGAGGTAGTTGACAGTTGGAAGAGAGCCGCTGTTCAGAGGGGACATGAGCACAGAAGCAGAGAAATAGCCATTGCTGGAGCCATTATCAGGAGACATCTAGTAACAGACTGACAACACCAGTCTGTGTGCTCTAGTGAGTTATAAAGTGTGGAAATTAGCAATGGTGCTATAATTAAGTGTAATTATGAGCAGTGTGTTTAACCTTTAACGACCGAAAGTCCGGTATACCGGACGGTACCTGTGACCTCGAAGATGCCGAAAGTCCAGTATACTGGACGCAAGACACGTGTTCACCTTAGAAGTGCTGACTGTTAGACCTTGAGTTTGAAACCAAAACAAACACACGCAAGTTCAAGTCAGAGGTCCAGTTGTTGGCTCTGAACAATAAAACCCTTCATCATGGCACTGGGTTCGATTTCGTTTACATGAAGATAAGACTGTTTGTGACTTGGTCAGCCAAACAGATTTGAAGCGTCTTCACAGAAAAGATGACCCAACATTCCTCTGTGCGGGCAGATCACTGCTTCTGTAGCTCTCAAGGAAGTGACGTGTTTAGTGAGTGTCTGAATTATCAGCTTGTGAGTCAGTGGCGGACTGTTTCTTTGGGGAAGCCAAGATTTTTCATTGAGTCGTCTGGAACTGAACATTGACAACACTGTCCGGCCAGCCAGATAGAAACAATAACTTCCTGTTTGTTCGCTAAGCGAGAGACTGAACCAGATTGTCAACAAGCGTATGAGAAGTGAGGTCTGTGTGACCTTCACAACGCGCTGAAGCAAACCCTGCCTTTCCGCGCTCCCGCACGCCGTATCTATACTAGCGTAAACTTACACGACGCAACGAGTTGAAACTCGTGTACAGTCTGACCAAACATTTTGGTGTATAGTGTCAATGTATTTTGGATATAACGACGTCTCAAATTTGAAGAAAAAATTATGGGTAAGTCTTTTGGAATTTCATAACACATATAATAGAGAGTATATTTTGAATTTCATGACATAACAATCACAGTTAATTTTTATTTGTAAAAATTGCCATAGATATATTGTAGGAAATTTCATTCTCTTTCAGGCGGTTTTTAGTTCGTATTTCTAAGCTGCATAGAACGGAAAATATGCAGTTTTTTCTGAAAGTCTACAATATTAAAAGGGCAACGTCAAATTAACTCCGGCAGCAGCGCAGTCGTGGGGGGTTTAAATGCCGACTGTTAAAGGTTAAGTGGTCAATAAATCCAATATCCAATCCAAAACCTCATCAAGTCATTCTAACATGCGACAGTATTTATTTCTGCAATTTATACAATTTGTTACTGAAAAAAAAATCTGTGAAAGTTTTAGGAAATCAATCAATCAATCAATCAATGTAAAATGTTTACAGAAAATGCTACTAAAGCTGAATGTTATATGGCAATGTGGTATGGATATTCATGTCTACAGACTCCACTGTGAAATTTCCTAAAATGAAAACACTGAGATGAAAATATCCCTTGATAAAATTTTGACTGACATACATTTTCTGCAGAAAATGCAATTAAAACTGAATGCAATGTAGCTTCATGGTATGCATATTTGCACTTATGGGACCCCACAATCCAGCTGGTTGATTAACAGTGGGATGAAAATGCCACTTCAAAAAATTTTGACCAATGCACAATTTCGATAGAAAATATTAAGTATATTAAGTATAATATCACACTACCATAATGCATTTTCTATGACAATTTTAACAAAGGTATTTTCTTTTGCAAAATTTCTTCTCTGAAAGCGTGGGTGCATAAAATATGCAAGCAAATACAGTAAACATTCTGGTCCCAACTACCTATAATTATACAATTAATATATATATATACTAGCAGTACCCGGCCACGTGTTGCTGTGGCTCAGTCTTGTTAAGTTCGTAGACGTCTTTGTTCTTGGCAGCAAGAATAGCTCGTTCACTCAGCCAATCGTGATTCTTATAATTGGGCTGAATATTGGGAAATACTTTTTCAACCAGTTCTTCTTTTGATGTCACTAAATTGCAGAAGTTATGAGGCAATGAAATTCGTCCTGAGGTCAGATCAACCGGCACCTTTCCATTCCCAATTTCCAGCAAATGATGTGAGAATATCTCAGCTGATCGATCGTTCTGCAGCTGGACACACATATTTGTAGTTAATTTTAATGTCTTTATGTGTCGCCACAAAGTAGAGTATTTCAGGCAAGCATTTATTTCGTCCGCTGGTGTCGATCGAGGAATTACAGGTAATGTTTGCCTGAAATCTCCTGCAAGCAATATTAATGCATTCCCAAATGGTCTGATGTTTCCACGCAAATCTTGCAATGATCGATGAAGAGCCTCGAGCGATCTTTTGTGTGCCATGGTGCATTCATCCCAAACAACAAGTTTGCATTTCTGCAATACCTTTCCCATGCCTGATGCTTTGGAAATGTTGCACATGGGAGTTTCAATGAATTGCATGTTCAATGGCAATTTCAAAGCGGAATGAGCAGTTCTTCCACCTGGTAGCAATGTCGCAGCTATTCTGGACGACACAAGAGCTAAGGCTATGTCATTTTGGGATCGAATTGCTGCCAGAATCAATCTAATTAGGAATGTTTTACCAGTTCCTCCTGGCGTATCTAAGACGAAGATTTCTGCAACCCCGTTATTGACAGTTTGCAATATTTGATCATAAATGCCTTTTTGCTCAAGCCTTAGCTTAGGAATATTTGATTGCACATACGACAAAAGATCACCCGTGTTGTAATTTTGTTCACGACGCAATTCTACATTGAATGAAGCAACAGCAGATCAATTGGGTGATGGCATTCCCAATTGATTGAGATCTTTGTTCATGATTTCTAAGCACAAATCTTCAATCCTTATCAACGCCGGTTAATTTCAGACTGACTGCTCCTTGTCGAAGCTGGGCTATTTATACCTCGGTGGTTGCTATACAATGCCCCCTGTTGTCTATCACCAGGGAAACGCTGCGTTGTTGATTCCGTGATTCCTACGCAACGACCCATTATTATTGCGTTGTCTCTGTGGGAACGCTCCGTGTATTCATCATAACCATGGAGATTCAATGTTCTCGACACAACGGTTTTCTTTCTTTTCCATTTAACCAGACTGAGCCACAGCAATGCATGGCTGGGTACAGCTAGTACAGGCGCGTATTCAAATGCAACATTGCGTCAAAATTTCAAAGCAATCGGTGAAGAACTTTCGGGGATTTAAGATCTTGAACAAACGAACATTTACATTTTTATTTATAGATAAAAAAGATAAAAGATAGATTGACATTTTTAATAATTTTAACATCATAAAGTATTAAAATACATTTTTAGTGAGTGACATGTCTTTTAAATTGACAGATTATTTACGTGTACTTTGATAATAAGAATATGTCGCGTGTTACCTATGTAATGTTGTTGTGGTCACGTGTCTCCTATTCAGCGCGACAAATAACTTCCACGTACATCTCGGATTCGGTGAATAAGTTATTGAACGCTCACTTTTACACCAGTGGGTACAATTATTATCACGTCCGGTATCACTGGAAAACTCTTCGGAGCTGGACTGTTCTAACCTGGTTTCGGACGCAATAGAGGGCACTTTTGCCCAGGATTCGATTTCACGTGTTCTGTGCTCGTTGCCGCAGAAATGTATTATTTCCGCTGTTTCATCGCTGCGCAATGGCTACAATTGAAATTGTTGAGTTCCCACAGTGACAAATCGAATACCAACAGGTCATTGCCTACAAATAACCATGGCAATGAACGTATAACACGTTACAGTATATTAATATTCAGTACAATTAATATTTTAACAACCAATCAACCTGTCACAAGTGTGACATGTATATAATAGGTGTATAAAAACATGCAGGTATTTGAATGCAATGTTGTGTCAAAATTTCAAAGCAATCGGTGAAGAACTTTCGGAGATTTAGGATCCTGAACAAACGGACATTTACATTTTTATTTATATAGATTGTGTATAATTTTCAGTATTAAAAATTCTCATTGCATTAATTATATAAGGCATAAATCTCAAGGCCTTGCATGTTTGCCATGTTTGTAACTGTCAACATAATAAAAGTTTCACACAGAATTTGTAAGTATGTGAATGATCTATTTCCATTAAAAATTTCTAATACTGAGCTCTAATGATTCATCAAACATATGGGTAAACACAGATTTCATGTGGTTATCATGCTGCTCTACATGCCACCAAAAATAATCTTAAAAGTTGATACCATATACCCGACATTTCTCATAAAATAAAGCAAGTAGGCTAAGAACATAACAGTTACAATTCAATATCCTATGATTATATATTTTATTGGGAGGCATGTGGTAGCGTAGTTGGTTGAGGCACTATACAAGCCGGAAGGTCGCACGTTCAAGTCCCGATGAGGTCACTGGATTTTTTTCAATTGACCTAATCCTTCCGGCTGCACTATGGCCCTGGGGTCGACTCAGCTTCTAACAGAAATGAGTACCAGGAATTAATTAAATAATTTTCCTGGGAAGTACAGCGTGGCCAGCGTGTGAGGCTGACAACCTTACCGCCATCTTTGAGCTGATTCTCTAGATAATGCAGGACCCTCAACGTCTCACAACCCTATGGGCCTTCACGGCCTGTTACAGGGACAACTTTACTTTTTTATACATTTTATTGCCTGATGATGGACCCGTGAGAGCCAAAACATGTTGCATAGCTATGCTATAATAAACTCAGTTAATAAAAGTGTGGAAATGAGCTGTTTATTTCATTGTTGTGTTGATGGATATACTATATAAACAATATATAAGCTTAGAAGAGATAGAAAACACATGTACCATACCTGCCATTTGGATTCTAATTTGTGTATAGCATCACTATATGAAGGAGTTTGTCCTGTCCTCACTGCTGGAATAACGGGAGATGCTACACGAAGAATTGGAACTGGTAATGAATCATCTAACTTATTTTTGCATTTATTAGTATCTGGCAGATGAAGGAATGAAATATGTTGATCACCTTTTGTAGGCAACTCACAATGTCTTGTTCTAGATTTCTGTAGCTCTAAGGCATTTATTTCTCCTTCATCTTCATCATTATTATGACTGCTATGAGCACCACTGCCATAACCTGCAGCTTCAATAATATCAGATGCTGGTCGGTGATAAGAAAGAGTAATTGGCTCACTTGTTTCTTCTCCAACTGAGCAGTTATTTAACAGATAGTCTGAGACACTGCTTTGATGTGGATATTCCTTATTGCTAACATGTAGAGGATATTTGACATTCAACTGTATACAGTCAGCAAATCTGCCACGCTGTGGGTACTCAACGTTGCTGTCTGTCTGATGTTGCTCTGTTAAGTTATCCTCGATTATGTTGGCTGTACCATCATTCTGATTTCTATTCCTTGTGTTAGAATTCCTCAGGCTGGAATATGTAACATCTTCAGGTACATCCTGACTAATGGAGGCTGTATGACTTGAGGGCACTGATTCCTTTGGACTTTCAGACAAGAAGTATTTGGCCCTCAGTCCTGGCACACCGAGACTCTGCACAGAACACGAGGTATGCTGGGGCAATCCTGCCTCAAGGTCCTCAAACCTCTTTTCAAATAACTGTCTTTTCTCTGCTTCCTGCTCAAGATTCAATGGTTTCTGTCTATGCTGAAACTCTTCTGCTTGGTACATCCTGCAGAATATAAAAACACCATAATTTTGGTTTCATTTCCTGGTCCCAAATTCCAGCCAAAAAAAAAAACTATGAGTATAATGTATCTTGTTGTGTAATAAGTGTTCAAAACCCTGTAAGACTCAATTAAATGCTGACATGTAACTGTGAAGCTGCAGGGGTTTCCTTGGCCCTTTATTTTTTCAATTGTATAAATGCTGGGAAAAGCCTGTACCTTCCAAAGTATTTGTTCTTGTAGGTATGAACTAAAAACTGTGTCAAAGAGCACAAAAATTACAATCTTCTTGTTCAGTGTGTATATAATATAACAAGTGCTCAATTCAGAATGTAGAGGAGTGATTCAAAAAGTTTGTCCACTTTTGCTCCCGCCTGCTGAAGATATAAGTGAGCTAGTGATAGTTGGTAGTAGTGAACCCTGTGAGGTGATGTGTTGATACACTGCCTAAAATGGATTAAGAATGCCACAAATGGCTGTCCACTGCAACAAGTGATGACACAGGCACAAGTCAGTCAGAGCCATGATTCTAAAGGAGAGTAACAAGTGCAAGGTATTCTGACATATTATGAAATGCATGGAGGCCAGCTATTAAAACAAAACAACGAGGAAGATTATCAGAAGCTGTTCTTGTTTTCCATGACAATGCTCAACACCATACCACTGCCCACAATAGGGTAACCCTTTAGAAGCTGAAATTCGAAGTTTTTGACCATCCAGCATATAGTCCAGACCTTGCAAATTAAGACTTCCATCTGTTTGAACCTTTATAGGTGGCTTTCAGGGGTCACTGATTTACAGATGATGATGAGGTGAAGGAAGAGGTGCATGACAGGTTTCGCACTCAGCCCAAAGAGTTTCGTTCTCATGTCACATGTGCTATTTTCAACTCACTGTGGTAAAGTCACTTTGCTTGCATCATTCATTCTGAGAACTCTGGTGGTGGGAAGATTACGTACATGGACAAACATGAAGACAGTGGCAAATGTAACAAGCCTACATTACACAGAACTACCACAGAAGCCCCAAGTCTTTGTGACACATTTACTAATGCCAGTATGGGTATATTCAAAATTGTTTCAGTGCGCCACAACTCAAAATACAGCATAATACAGCATCCCAAACTATTTGTCATTTTTGATGGACATTTAAAACAATGGAACCATAAATATGATTTGTATGGGGATTCCTCAATGATTTCCAAAGCCCCAGTATCATATACTTCCGCCTGACTTACTGGGATCCAGTTCCTAACTCTATACCTAGGCTTCAAATAACACTTTCAACATACTGTTCTACTTGCTTTCCACACAAACAGATCCACAGCATCTGAATAGCAAACACAAACCACTCTTCAAAACAGTTTACAGATACTTGTGATCCACTCCTACCAGCGAAAGGAATTTTTAATGAAAAATGAATACAATCAACATGTTGCCAAGAAAATGTCTGTGGTCCTGGCTGATGTCTTCTTGTTACTTTATTGCCCATGAACTCTTGCACCATCTAAATCTTCACTTTCTGAATCATTAGAAGAAATACAACCATCAATGTCTTCTAAAATTCTCAAAAGATCAGCTTTGTTATTACATGTGAACTTTGAGACAACAGCCATCTTGGTAGACATTCTCCCTTTAATGATGTAGCTTTGAAAGGTTAAAAACATTCCATGAAAATTCTTAAAAAAAAATGTAAGAGACAGCACGGGAGAAGAGGGCCTAATAAACACAATGGCACAATTAGTTCAGCCCCCAGATGGATGAAGAAAAACTGAACATATACCAGCTCTCAGCATGCCCATACTGACAACCACTGTATGGGATCAGTGGCTGGGTTTTTACAAGCGTACTGCCTCACAGCCTGAGAAGTTAATCAATCTCTGGAGGAATGGCTTTCCTTATATTAAACTGAGGTTTTCACTGAATCAGAGTTAGGAAAATTACATTAAGAAACAATTCATCTCTTATAAGATTTACTGCTCATACCTATTTATCCATAGAATAAAATCCCATTTTCCTTAAAGAAATTAGCTCAACCTATATTATTTGCGGATGACACAAGTATCATTATATCTAATTCAAGTCCTGAAGAATTTAGAAGTAATATTACTGAAACAATGATGTGATTTAATAGGAACTTTTTAACTCCAAATTGTGATAAAACACACTTCTTACAAATTCTTTTTAAGAAATCATTGAAAAATAGAAATTCAAATTACATCAACCAACTCATTAATTACTAACATCAATTGCACTAAATTTTTGGGAACAAATATTGATAGCACCCTGTCTTGGAAGAACCATATTATTGTGTTATCATCAAGATTAAATAAGGCCTGTTTTGCAATAAGGGCAATAAAGCCCTTTATGTCATTAGAGTCAGTAAAGATTATTTACTACTCTTATGTACATTCGATACTGAAGTATGGCATTATCTTTTGGGGTAATGAATGCCCCCCCCCTTATTAGTATCTTTAAAATTAAAAAAAGAATCATAAAGAGTTATGTCTGGTTCGGACAAATTTGATTCATATTGGGATTTGTTAAAAAATTTACAAATATTGCCACTCCAGTCTCAATATATTTTTTCCTTGCTTCTTTTCATTATTAAGAATAAAAATTACTTTACATCTAACACAGATATTCATGATGTTAATACACGCTATAATTATAATTTATACTTACCCTCTACAAATTTATCAATAGTTAAAAAAGGACTGCTGTTCTCTGGAATAAAGATTTATAATCACTTACTTACTTACTCATGGAGCTGAGCCCTTCTGGAGAAGCCGCCAATTCTGCAGCTACTCAAGAATTTCCCAGCATTTTATGGAAACCAAAGGTTCATTAACGTGTTCACAAGAGCCCTCCACTGATCCCTATCCTGAGCCAGATCTATCCAATCCATACCATCCCATCCTGTATCTCTAAGATCCACTCTAATATTGTCCACCCATCTATGCCTTGGTCTTCCCTGCGGTCTCTTTCTTTCTGGCTTTCCCACCAATATCCTATACACATTTGTCTCCTCCATTCATGACTTGCCCACCTCATCCTCCTTGACTTTATCATTCTAATTATACTTGGAGAAGAGTACAAGTTATGAAGCTCCTCATTATGCAGTTTTCTAAAACCTCCTGTCACTTCATCTCTCTTTGGTCCAAACATTCTCCTCAACAGCCTGTTCTCAAACACCCTCAGTCTATGTTCCTCCCTTAATGTCAGAGACCAAGTTTCACACCCATATAGAACCACAGGCAAAATTATAGTTTTGTATATTCTAATTTTTGTGTTCTTGGACAACAGACGAGAAGACAAAAGGTTCTGGACTGAATGATAGCAAGCATTACCCGAGTTCAATCGCCTCTTAATCTCCTCTTGAATCACATTTCGATCTGTTATCGTTGTTCCCAAATATCTCAACTGTGCCACATTTTCAAAACATCTGTTTCCTACCTTTATGCCATGATTTTGCCCTGCATTTTGGTGACGAGACAGTAACATATACTTAGTTCTCTGTGTTTACTTCTAGACCAACCTCATTACTTGCGTCAATTAAAGTTTGTGTCTTTTTCTTTATGGTATCTACATTATCACCTGGTAGATTCACATCAGCGGCGTAGACCAACAGCTGATGTGTCCCATTTCATTTCAGTCCCACCTGGCTTCCCTGGACCTTCCTAATTGCATATTCTATGGCAAAGTTGAAAAGGAGTGGCGATAAAGCATCTCCTTGTTTTAGACCATTCTGGATAGGAAATTTATCAGACAAATGTTTACCTACATGGACTTTACTATACATTTCATTTAAATACATTTTAATCAACCTTTTACTATACATTTTGTTCAAATACATTTTAATCAACCTCACTAGTTTCATGGGTATCCCAAACTCTTACAATATTGTACAATACTTCCCTCCTAACTGAATCATAGACTTTCTTGATGTCTATGAATAGCTGATGTACTGTCTCATTGTACTCCCATTTTTTCTTCAATATCTGATGAACGCAAAAGATCTGATCTGTAGTTGATCTGTTACGTCGAAACCCACACTGATGATCCCCAATAATTTCATCTATATATGGACTTAACCTTGAAAGAAGAATATTGGACAAAATTTTACATGAGGTTGATAGCAGTGATATCCCCCAATAATTACTACAGTTAGTTTTATCACCCTTCTTGTGAACTGGTACAATAATAGACTCCTTCCACTGATCACGCAATATTTCTTTATGCCTAATAGAAGTAATTAGATTGTGGATCTTAGAACATAATATTTCTCCTCCTGCTTGAATAAGTTCTGCCGGAATTTGATCACTACCTGGTGATTTATACCGTTTCAATGTTGCAATAGCACTTTCAACCTCTAAAGGGATAGGATCAGGTATTAACGGCTCAACCGTATGGATTTCTGTCTGCCTAACAGCATTGACCCTATGTACATTCAATAACTGAGAGAAGTAGTTCCTCCACCTATTCAAAATGTTGTGGGAATCTGCAAGCAGATCACCATTCTCATCCTTCACTAAGTCACTGCTAGGCTGGTAACCTCTCCTAACCGTTCAGCGTGGTTTGACGTGTATGTTTCGTCAGGTATTTAAATCGTCTGCGGGGGTTCGACGTCTATGTTTCGTCCAGCTGCACACCTATGTTATAACGCCCATAATAATTGATGGATTTGCTGTAGATTGTTAGATTTTTCACTGGCCTGTTGTCAGGAGTACCGTATTTAATGACACACGAGTTTAGCTGCGCTAATTCATCGTTACATATGCCTATCTTGCAGCAAAGTTCCTGTTGCTCTTGGGAGAGGTTTAGTCGGTCCAACTGTTATGGATGGCGTGTTTTCTTTCCTATGAAGTTATAAACAGCAGAGACGTGATATGTGCTGTGTTTATAATATCATATTGCCCTGAGCTGGCCACACTAACACACTCAATTGGAATTCTTAGAAGAGGGATGTCCAAATTTTATTCTTGCAAGATCTATTGATTTCGCACAGTACATAGCAGCGAGTTCTTGGAAAAACGTCACGAATTAAGGCAAAACACTGTGGTCACCCCCTATGACGATACTGGTGTGTGTGTGGGGGGGAAAGAACTCATTCCTTCATGTATTATCGCTCCAGTTGACGCCATTTTATCGTACTGACCTTGGTGGTCGTTTCGAGGGATGACCATAAATATTTTTTTTGAGCCAGCTAAGCTCTGCTTTCGTGCACTACATACCAGTCAGTTCTTAGAATAACTTCATGAATTCTGTGGTCACCCCTACGACATCTACTGCCGCCAAAATGGATGGAATATCAAAGGCATAGCAACAACCCCTTGTTATGATAACTCGTAACGTTGAATTTACTACAGCTGACCTGGCAACTAAACAGGTCACGGAAAGACATTTCCTTGAACGTATACCCCTAACGGGGAAGAAGGCAAAGCCNAGTTTCATGCTTCAAGGCGTACCATTCACTGCTCAAATTCTAAACAACCTGCTTCCATTGCCGAGATACAGGGCGCTCATATTATAAGGTAAGGTTATAAAACCACCTTTTAAGATCATTTTAGTGAAAGTTTCATGTTCCTATCTCATATAATTTAAGAACAATGATGAATAAATCATTTTCGAGCAAAATTTAAATGGCCGGCTGAATATATTACCGCCGGAGAGACGGCCGCGGAATTTAAATCACCGCGCAAAAGGGTTAAAGTCATTTATTCCTCTATACAGGTCTCTAATGTTCTTGTTCTTACTGTTCATTGCAAGCTCATCAATTTTGTCTTTCAGATATTCCCTCTTTTTGTTCCTGAAATGCCTGCTGGTTTCACGTCTTATATTGTTCAGATTATCCCCATTTAACTCGCCTGGATCCTGTAACTATTGCAAATTGGCCTGCTTTCTTTGGTCTAATAATTTTGAGCATCCTTCATCAAACCATGGCTTATGCTTCTTCAGTTCATAATAACCTAGACTCTCTTTGGCACACATTTTTATATTCTCTCTAATAGTTTCCCAAGCTCTATTAACATCCACCTCAGTTTCCAAGTTTTCCAAAGTCGCAAACCTATTTGAGATTTCAACACAATACTGCTCTTTACCCTCTACCTCATTTAATTTCTTGAGATTGAACCTCTCCATAAGAACTCTGTGTATTATTTGTTTGCTCACTGCCAGTCTTTCCCTAACCATTGCCACCACCAGGTAGTGGTCAGTATCACAATCTGCTGTCTTGAATGATCGGACATCAAGTATATGTTCTAATTGATTGTGTATCTTCCCATCAGGAGATGTCCGAGTAAATTTAAGGATGTTACGATTTGGGAACACTGCACTTTTGACAGTAAGATTTTCTGATGTGGCAAAGTTTACAACTCGAACTCCATTAACTCTCATTCCCAATTGTTGGTATGAAAATGTCTTCCCTCCCTACTTTGGCATTGAAATCTCCTAACAAAATTTTCATAGGGTACTTCGGGAATTTATCAAATACATGTTCTAGTTCTTCACAGAATCTATCCTTTATGTCATCAATCTTATTTTGTTGGGGCGTGAACATTCATAACAATGATATCACACCAGCAACCTTTTAGTATTATATATGATATCTTATCACTAACAAATTCTACCCTCTTAACTGCTGATACAATTCTCTTATGTACGAAAAAAACCTGTGTACCTAATTCATGATTTTCATTCTCCTTTCCATAGAAAAATGCATATTCTCCTGCTGGTGCGATGCCACCTCCATCCCATCTGACCTCCTGTACTCCCGCTAAATCTAACTTATATTTTAAGATTTCTTCTGCCACTGCCCTGAGCGAACCTGCCCTATACAAACTTCGTACATTCCAAGCACCAAATCTCATATCCATTTTCATTAGCTTAGGTCATTTATCCAAAGAATCTGTCCAGGTCCTAGGCTTTGTGTTCATTTTCGTAACATAATGACTTTTTACAGTGAGTTGTTAGCCCCACGGCCAACCCCCAAGCTGGAGGGCCACCCCTTTTCGGTTGTCTGCGACTGTTTATTCAATATATTTGCAGCTTCCCTCAAAAAGTGGAGGGTGTCTCCCCCCCTCTGCAACCCAAGGATGTGCCATGCCGTGGTGACGGACCCACCTAACATGGCTTATAATCACTTACCTTGGAATATTAAATTGTTATCTAAAGACATTAAGCAATTCAAATCTTTATTGAGAAGAAATCTCACTGAACATGCATTTTATAGCACTGATGAATTTTACAAAACAACTTCCGAATGAATACCTGTACATTATTTAGTTAAGAGTTGTAATTTACTTTTATTACCATATTTGTATTAATTCTAGGTAAAACTGTTTCAGATGGCTACTGTAAGATTTATGACATGTATATTAGATTTACTGTTATACTTACTGTTTTATATTTATAATGACAGTTTCTATATCCTATAGNCAGCATGATATTCCAGTAAGATAATGTGCCTATAGTCACTGGTTGCAGATAATACTGACCCAAATGGTAGGTGAAATATGCCAATAACAGCCTGTCATCAGCTTTCCATCACTTTCAAGGAAAAAAGGTTATTTAGAAAAGGCTTTTCAATACTGTATGTAATGAACAAATGCAGAGCCTCTGGCAACAAAATAGTTCCTTTACCTATGTTGTTAAGAAACTGTTCTAATATAAATAAATGCAATAATGCAATCAGTAATATCAAATTAATTTCTAAAATAATTAATGACATAAACAGTGAAATAAGCATTGCAACAACCGCAGCTAAGAATGAAGATAACTATATGCCAGAAGTGGTGAGGGAGGGTTTGGGGTGTGTTCAGTGTGTGACATCACTTGCCAAAGATTGTGGTTTGCAGCAGTGACTTCCAGAAGAGAGCAAATATGAACATCAACTGTCATCTTCATCAAAATCACAATAAATCAGGTATAAGTTCCGGAAGATCGAAGCTTTCTTACACTAAATATGGAGAAAAAAATATATTGCTAATGCTGGGTTTCTGATGGGATCAGAAAAAATATTAATTAAATATGAGATTTCACTAATGGCAGGACACTAGATCAGGATTTCACTGTAGTCTCTAACATTTTTATTTTAAATAGATTACATTCCATTATTTTCATTACCTCTGAAGACGTCTTTCTCTTCTAAGAGCCTCTTCTTGTACATATTCTTGTCTCATCCTTTCTTGCTGTAACTCTGCTCTGCGTGCAATTGCTTGTTCTTCCTCCTTTTCTTTCTTTCGTTGTTCTGCTTCAGTGCGCTGCTTTTCCTCAATCTGTCTGCGTAATTCCTCTTGGTAAGCCTCTCTTTGGTGGCGAATGTCCATATTCTGCAATAATTTATCCTTGATTTAAAAGTCTGACAAGAAGTTCTAGAAAGAATTTATGACCCACGTGCAAAAACTGGATAAGCAGAACTTAGAAATTGATAACAGAATAAAATTTCCTATGTACAAAATTTCTGCTAGTATGGATTTCTCAAAGCTTTAATTTGTGTGACAAACTAATTTGTGATTCTGAACACACCAAAAAGCATCTTTTACAAAATTTAGAAATTCATTTATAACTTATAACCATACCAACAAAGTCTCTAACTACAATGCTTCACTCATTATTGCTGTCAATCAGAAAAGTATTTGGAATTTATATACACCATGCTATACTCATATTACATTTTAAATAAGAATGTCATTAACAAGAATTACATATATTGTAACTATTACAATACAAAACTGCACAACACTAAACTTAATGATACTAGTGGAGAGGTGGTGGTGTTAATGCTGATGAGTTAAAATCATGCATGTTTGCAGAGATAAACTCTCTCCCACACCCTATACACAGCCATAAATTATGTTCTTAGTATTTCATTAAGTAATTATTTTTATATTTGAAACATAAGTTATGGAGTTTAATAAAATGTATCTTTTCTACCATGCATCAGATTTTTATGAATAGCCATTATTTGCAATGATCAGTTTGGGCGTCATGAAAAGTAGGTGTTACAATGGATCAATACGAAGTAAATTAAATTGTCCTGATGACTTTTAGTGTATACCCAAAACCATATTTGACTGAAGTCCAAGTAATAGTTCCTACATCAAATCTGACAGACACAACTCCCTTCTATGAGCTCACTTCATGAAAGCTATCCAAACCATGTGCAAAATGCAAACATTTTTACATTTGCCCATACTAATTGCCTTTAATGTCTTATACCTGTCCTAGAATTACAGAAGTCCACCAACCATATCAAATGCTCCAGGTCGAAATGGACGGTCTTGCAGAAAGCTTGGGTTGTAACTCTCCCTAAATTCTACCATCTTCCGTTCCCTTGGACTACGAGGCAAGTATGATGCATGCTGAGGAAGTGCAATAATTCCTGCAGCTGCAGAGGTATCTACAGAAGGCACACCCTCATACTTGGGAAGCCTCACATTTCTGGCAGATGTCTGAGTAGCAATGGTTGTAATAGGAGGGTACTGTGACTGAGCAGGAAGCACAGAAATTTCCTGCCTGGGTGTGTGTGCAACTGAAGCTACAGGGGAGAGGCCACCATCATTCACTGTCAAGGGAGAGTATCCAGTAGCCTGGCTGTAACCTGTAATCTGGAACAGTTTGTACTGTTAAGTACACAGTGATTACAAATGATGGAAGCAATTCTGAATATTTATTATGAAGCAATTCATAATAGTAAACTGAAAATCATGTTAGAGTAATGAAGAAGATACCAAATATTTGTATGTAGGATTTGATGTTCTCACAGCATTGATGAGTCCTATCTTCTGCGACATAATCCTGTGCAGTCCACTGAAAGTAAAGTGATGTTTCACAGAAGTATGTTGGCCAGCAAGTCTGCTGCCTGCTTCACACTAGTTTCTTGCTTGGCTTACTCTTCAACCATGAAACATTTCTTCACAGGCCTGTTTATTAAAGCTCAATACATTTTCCATTTGTGCTTCTACACCCATTACAGCAGTACTTTCTTTTTTTATGAGACATTTTGTACCATACCACAATGAACTTTTAGAACACCATTACTTATTCTTTCCTTGGCAGGGTGGCTGTGTCTTTGGTCAGGGATGCATTGAGACACAGCTTTGGAACACCTCCTAGTGGTCCTGCTGGGCAACGACAGTCTTGGGAGTCTGCATTAGCATGAGTTTCCGGGGCTGGCGGCCGAGTTTCCATAAAGCGCAATGGCTATTTGACTAGAGCCTCCCACGCGGTGGCATAATGACTCTTGGGTTTCATTACGATGTACCCGGGACGAATGTGGGAGAGCACTCCTATGGGGGTAGCTACAGCTATTTGAGTTGTCTCCCTAGAGTACCGATAAGGTGCCGCAAGCCTTAGGGCTCAACACTCTAAAATGGTTCGACCAATCCATATGGAGGGGCGTGAATGGGGGAGCTCTGAAGCAACCTCCAGGGGCGATAATCTCGTGTAGGATGCCCTGGTCGCAACCTCATCACAACTAGTATCGCACTCCCATTTATCATCTGGGATACCCCTCTCCCCCCGAACATGCACTCTTGGTCCTGGAGGCTTGTGATGGTTATATTTATGAAGCCAAGGTGTGGGTTATCTTGCCGAAGGCTGCATGGCACTGGGGTGGTTATTGGCCAGTGTCTCGAACGATCCCATCGGGGCACCAGGCAGCACCCTGTTGTATTTATGCCTTCCACCCGTATGGGGCTCTGCGAGTGGTGACCTTTAAATCCCCATTACTCGTGGGACCGAAATGAAAAAAGGAACCAAATCAAAAACCGGTCGCAAGGACCTTAAACTGAAGAGGGACCCCCCTTTAAGGGGATCCCTATGAGAGATTCTTCAGCAGGGGGCTGGCAGCTCTGCTGAACCATTAATGGGCCCAGTTGCAACCAGCGAACCTGCTGTTGAAATTTCAGCCAAAAGCAAGGATGAACCAGTGATTCAAAACTTGCCAGAGGCAAAACTAAAAACTACTCTCCTGGGGGTCAGTAGTACTGACACAACACTGCAGGCAGCCAGTACTTCTGACATACCTGCAGCAGGGGAAAGACTGGGACACCTAGGCTCTGGAGTAGGTGGACCCCGTCTGGCGAAGAAAGGTTTGTCTGGTTGCGCTAGACCAGGGGTCGGGGAACTTTTTTACTTATTACCCCAAAATATACTTATTTACGCCGACGTTACCACCTTGATTTGAAAGAGAGAAAATCATAGATTATTCAAATTCAAAAGGTTTATTGAATCTATTTATATGGAGAATACAATTATAAATATAAAAAGTATAAAATAAATGCGATAAAATACGAGTAAATTAATATCCTCATTATGAAACAAAAGGATTTCTTAGAAATTTTTTTTCACTTCAGGTTTTGGAGAAATGATGATGTTTCATTTTTTATACAATAACATCAAAACTGGGACATTTTGATGTCAGAGCAATTTGCATACTGTCTTCAGGGTCCAATCGATTTCTCTGCTCTGTTTTTATGTTCGGTAGAGTGGAAAATCCTTGTTCGCAAAGGTAGGTTGTTGCAAAGGGCAGCACCTTTTTGACTGCCTCCTCATGTGCAATTTTGAAAGCATTTGCAGCTCTTGACATCCAAAAATATGACAGATCTGCTTTGTTTTCAAATTCAATATGTGCTTCATTATTGGATCGAAGTTCAAGAAGTGCCTCTGCCAAACCTTGAGGCTCTTCTAGTACATCAGCAATTTCACATTTAAAGGGTTCTACAATCCAACTGACATTATGTGAATCAAGATCTGGAAAGTAATCATCGAACCGCTTTTTGAGTTTGGTAAGATGCCTTATAACTGTGTCCTTGATGTCATCAAAAGTAATATTTTCACAATCTTCCAAAAACAAAGCCAACCTTGAAAAGGCAGCAATCTTGTTTTGTTCTGCTTTCTGTCTCCAATATAAAAGCTTTGATCCAAACGCTGAAATCTTTTCTCTGGCTGAAATTATATTGATGTTTTTTCCTTGCAATTCTTTGTTCAATGCATTCACATACTCAAAAATGTCACCTAAATATGCGAGGTGTGCAACCCACAAGGAGTTTGTAAACTTATCTGCGAGAACATGCTTTTGATCAAGCATAAAAATTTCAAGTTCAGTTTTGAGAACCCACACTCGGTTCAGAACATTTCCAAGTGACAGCCATCTCACTTCTGTATGTCAAAGTAGGTCTGTATATTCAGCCTCCCCTCCTGCACATAATTCACGAAACAGTCGCATGTTTAGTGCATGTCCTTTGACGACATTGACAACGTTGATAACATCATGCATGACGGCTTCCAGCGCAGGTTCCAAATGTTTCACAAGCAGTGCCTGGCGATGGATCATACAGTGGTTAACTTCAATTTTTGGATTTTTCTCTCTCGCCAAAGCCGAAAAACCACTAACATGACCCAACATAGCTGGAGCTCCATCAACAGACAAAGCAATGCAGTCTTCCCACTTTAAATTAGCGTTATTAAAGTATTCATAAATTTTATTGAAGACATCAATTCCACGAGATCGCAACTCGAGGGGAGAACAAAACAACAACTCCTGTTCAATTGCATGTAAACCTTTTGTAGCGAACATACACCATCAGCTGCAAATTACTACTGACATCTGTAGTTTCATCAAGCTGAATAGCAAAGCATTTACTCTCTTTTATTGAAGAAATAACTTGTTCCCTCACATTTTCTGCTAAAATAGAAATTCTTTCTTTCACAACTTTTGCAGACAAGGGCACTGAATTTAGTTTCGCAGCTTCTTTCTGACCACACATAATCTCTGCCATTTTCAAAGCTGCTGGTTTAACCAATTGCTCACCAATAGTATGTGGTTTCTTGTTTCGGGCAATCAACCAGGCCACTTCAAAGCTGGCCTTTGATGCTGAACGTTGATCGAATGTACTTCTCAAGTTGCTGTTCAGTCTTTGTTTTTTGACAGACATTTCCAAATTTACAAAGTATACCCGCGATTTGGAAGACAGGTGTGGGTGCAGATTATTCAAGTGGTTCTTCAATTGACTCTTTTTGAAAGATTCTGCAGTCAGTACTTTCAAACAGACAACACACTGTGGTTTCATTATTCCTTTGTCTTCTATTTGTGTAAACCCATAACTGAGGAACTCTTCCTGGTATATTCGTTTTCTAGTTGATGTCATCTGAGGGGGAAAAAAAAGTGATTCAAAAAGTTTTAACCCTTCAGCACACGCGTTTCTTATAGTTACACGAGGACATGCGTAATGTGGAGGAAAACTCAGCATGTACAATATGTGTAAGTCAGTACTGGAGGCCGTGCCATAGCTCAGGTGGTTAGTTGCACATGTACTATAACACGAAATTACCGATTCAGTGTGACAAGCTCAAACTGCTACTACTGCACATAAATGATAGTGCGTCGGTTTCATGAAANTTGCTTATTAAATAATGAATGAATGAATTTATTGATAGTAAATCCTTGCTAACAAGACACTATCTTACCTTGATCGTCGAAGTTTTTGAGCATAAGATAAAACAATAGGTGACTAGGCCAAAATGACGTATAAAAGATGTGCGCTTCTGCTGGCTGCCAAGCCACAACTAACGCGATCATCCACAACATGCTGGATGCGTTTATCTATAGAAGTGTTTAGTGATGACGTCACGCTGCCATGATGGACTTTTAACAATTTCCGTAGCAGCCGTTGTTACGGATGGTTATATGCCAGAAGAAAAATTTCTGTCGTAACAAGGAACGCGTTTTTTATATAATTTCATTTATGTCTATTGAGTCCTCATTACCCCCAAGAATTTCATTTTTACCCCACTTGGGGTAATTTACCCGGTTCGCCGACCACTGCGCTAGACGGAAGTTAAAAAAGGCAAAAGCTGAGACAAGCAAAGCAGGAACTGGGAGCAGTCAGCAACCAGGAAATGCAAGCTCATCCAAGCAGGGAGAAACCCCCACTGGCACCATTAAGAGGCCAAGGTCGGAGGGCAGTACCCCTACAGAAACTGTCAGAACTCTGAAAAAGCCCAGGGACTGTAAAGGACCAGGGACTTACAAGGAGGTTCTGACCAATATAAAGGTAGCTATCTTCAAAAACTTACCGAAAACGACCAAAATTCCATTCTGGAAGCATTGGACGAGGTGTTACGTAGGACTCCAAAGGAAGAACTACCGCACCTGCAGACTGTTGGGAGGTGCACTTATCTATATATGTGCCAACCAACAGTCTGGTCAATGGCTCATTAAAGCCATTGACAACCACAGGCTCAAATCAGGGACCAGGCTGAAGGCTACTGATGCCAGGAACCTGCCTAAGCCTGTTAAAGTAGTTCTCTGGACTAGGGACAAAACTGCCCAAAACCAGGAAGAGCTGCTGAAATGGACTGCAGACCTTAAACCGGGACTTCATACAGAGAACTGGAGGGTACTAGACAAGCAATCTGAATCGAAAGGCCAAAGACTTATCTTCCTCATAAACCGGGACTCCCATACTATTATACACAGGACCGGTTACAAAATATTTACAGGACTCCCACAGGGGACTGTTAAGGTGCTGGATGATCCTGAAGTTCAGCGCCGGGTAAAACCCGTGACAGACACTGTATCGTCCAACTCGGTCTCTGAGGAAGA